TTTAAATTTAAAATTTCAAAATTTTGCAATCAGAAATTTCCATTTGCAACGTGTTAACTTATCTAACAGATAAAAGATATGGGCCTTCCTAATGTCTTATCTACTAGAGTGGTTTCTCAAATATTGAAATACATAACAGCCAGCCTTCTAACAGTAATATCAGGATTTTCCGCAATAGTAAGTTTTTCTCGTGTTCCTCACTTATATCAGCATGTTTTGTAGGCGTTATTGATCCGGTTTTTCTAAAGCTCAGGTGCAGGACAATAATAGCAATATGAATTTGAAAATTTTTGGTACATCCGAGTGCCGTTCGTCAAACATTACAATGCATTTCGACATAAACTAAAGGTATTTCCTGCCGTAGTAAACATTTTAAAATTGTTTTTGATGACAATGAGAATTTTTGAGTTATGAAGTGAGATAAAAACGATTTGTTCTCCTAATCAGCTACTAAATATTAACAATGAAGTCATTTTGTTCTTGTCATTGGAAAAAACGCAAGGAATTAAAATAATTTATTTTTCTGGTATTTGGTACCTCCCGGAGATTAGTGGCAAAAGTTCCTGTTAGGTTGAAGATTACAGCTCAATTTTAGTAAATTTTAAAAAAGTTACGAAATGCAACCGGAAATATGTAATTTTCAGTTTTTCCGTTGAATAGTTCTCGATCCTGCTGCTCATTCTCCAACATTACGACAATAATTGACCAACTTGTTTTTATAGCTACGTAATTCTAAATTACTTTTCCATTTAGAAGATGTTAATTCAAAACGCTGGAAGAATTGTCAGTTTTGAAATCTATCGGGGAAATATTGAATAAATAATTATATTTAAAACATTTCGTTATTTTCTTTCAATAGTTCCCGATGTTGCTGCTCATTCTCCAACGTTTCGACAATAATTGACTAAATTTGGTTTTATAACTACGTGGCTTTAAATTAATTTTCCATGTAGAAAATGATAATGCAAAACGCCCGACGAATACACACAGTATCTTTTTACTATAAACAACTTTTAAAAACCTCGTACAAAAAACAGCGTACAAACATCCATGTGCAATTAATGCGAAAAACATATATTTAACCATAATTGTGGGACTCTTTTAGTTAAATCACTATTAGCCATATCCATTTTCGAAGCCAATTGGTCAAAATTATTCTTTCGATTGAATTAATGTAGGTAAATCACTTTTTGGAGAAAATTCTGTCTATAAAAACTGATTTTTTCTTTGAATTCATTTAGAACCATTTATAATTTGATTTAACACTTAGTGTAACGTGCCTGCTCTTAATCTGTGCAGAATATTTTAAATAAATCATCATGACAAAAATCAATTAGTTAAATTCTCGGTTTTGTCTTGTCCAAGCCAAAGGACTCTCATAAACTATCTACCGATGTGAAAAATGTAGTTTTTAGATATTTCTCTAACTGGTGTATGGTAAACCCTGCAGTTAAAATTGGTGGTTAAACCCTGCGCCCCGAGAAATTTTCACCGATTAATATATTAAGAATTTATACATTTAGTAGATTCGCTCATTTACTGAGCAAGGGATTGCACTATCACAAAAATGTTTGTTTGTGCTCTCTTTAATAATTTACTAATATTAAAATAATATCGTTTACAGGCATCAGATTGACATGGCTTTGGTGATAAACGAAATTTGTGAATCGCACTCTTCCTTCTGCTAAATTCTTCTTCTATCACAAATTGTAAACAAGAAACTTTTCTTGTTGAAAATTATCAGAACTGATTAGGCTTGACTTACGACAGTGTGAGTTTCTATTCCTCTTTTGCTCATATCAACATTTTAAGACCTGAAGTTAAACCTTTAAGACCTCCCCTAAGAACAATTATTCTAAATGAAAATCAGCACCTGCCTATTTTATATGTTTACGACTTGCCTTCGAACGTCACAATATAAAATTGCAGGATATCGCTAAAAACCGAAAATAAATAATGCACCTCAAACTGGCATAAACCGACCTTTCATTGGTTTAATTAATTCATCCTATTAAGCAAATTAATCCACACCGTAATTTCCGTCATTTCGGAAACTACCCTAGCAGCAAATGTGCAGAATATCGGTATCATTATACATATTGCACCGTGTAAACATATTCGGTAGCATTTCGCAAATTGAATATTCAACGATAATCGTGCATTTTTGTTAATAAAATTATAAATGAATTTGCTTTTATCAAATGGTACACATAGTTAACCGTTTTGCCGTAGTAAACACATGTAAATTTCAACTTTTGTCAGGACCTTGCAGTAAACGGTACTTTATTCTGCACATTCCTAGGATGAATGCGATGTTATAACAATTGTATGATGCACAAATAAATATGGCAAGTTGGAACAGAAAGCATTGTTACCAAGACACATGGAATTCGCCAAGTCACTAACACGAAAATAATCACAAGCTGTGACCGAAATTTATACTGGAAGGCTGGCGAAACCAGTAAATTTACTTCGATATACTGATTCTCTCCAGTTCAGAAGAAAATTAAGTCAATTTGTAGCAGCCTGGCGCTCTTATCTTTTGTACAATTGAAGAATTTGTCTGTAACTTTGCAATAAATTTGTTTTTGCCAAAAACTTTCACAATATCCACATGTTTCTCGATCCCTGGTTAGAACTTCTGCCAAAAACTTCGATTTTTCGCTGTTGACTAATGGGTGGATTACTGTGGTGCATCTTCATCGAGTGCCATTTAAGGCGTAGGGCATTGACACATTTCATTTGAAAATTATTTAGCTGGCCGTAGTAGAGACTGAAAAATCGAGTCGTTTTATTATCCAATCTGTATCTATTGTATGACGGGCAGCTGAACCGAAAATGCACTACAGGCGCCGAAAGTACTGTAATTAAGATATAAAAAAACCAACCAACGAAAATTTGCGATCGGTTAATAGACAAAAGCAATTTATGTTTGAATGAAATATCGATGTCCGGTAGAAGTCACCATAAACCTTTAGATAAGCTATATATTGTTGAGGCGGATTAATTTGTTTTACAAACTTCTTGTTGGGTATTTCGCTTCAAAAATTTTTGTCTTTAAAAAAGACAGAATTTCCTCACGTCTTTTATTACAGATTGATAAATCGTGCTCCTATTTCGCAATAACAACGAATTATTTACCAAAACGTAATCAAGAACTATCACCTAGAGGGTATCCTGCGACACACTTAGGCTCAAGTTGTAAGAAAAAATTCCAATTAGAAAATTAATTAATTTGAATAAAAAATAAGGTAATTTTTCATTCTTGATGTGATAGTTCTTGATTACTTTTTGATAAATAATTCGTTCTTATTGCGAAATAGGAGCACGATTTATCAATCTGTAATTAAAGACGTGAGGAAATTCTGTCTTTTTTAAAGACAAACATTTTTGAGGCGAAATACCCGACAAGAAGTTTGTGAAACAATATAAAGCTTTAGTTTTGAAACCTGGAAATTTATCTGGAGCTTTAAACTATCAAGCGAGCCTTAAAAATTGTAGTTGAAAAAAACGGGGTAATTTTGGGGTTAAACCGAAACAGATATATTTCTAAACGAAATTATTTTGTAGTCGCCTTTTCTCTTACCGAAATTTGTATTGCATAATTCGAAAACAAGTATTTTGCCTGAGTTGCTTTCAGTCAAAAGTTAATCTTTTTAATACTTAGCTGCGTCACATCTCAAATAAATTTAGTTAAACTTGTGATACAACATATGRAAASTAATTTTCATGTACAAWTTWCAGAACAAATAATTTCAAGTACAAATCTTATCATTATAAAATAGCGCKTAAGTCAATATGCAAAATTAAGCGCATATTTTAATCARCTATTTTCATTGTTATATTAACCGATGCYCTGAAATTCARTTGAGTCTAGATGGTATRTCGCATACTTCCATTTAAAATTCCAAATTTRCTGATTGAAAATTTGGCTGTCGAACATCCCGTTGGTAAATCCGAAAATAATATTTCAGGCATTGTAATTTTTTTTGGATAATMACAAAAACACCCAACTTTAATTTTTTGACAACCTCACACATTGATTCAGACCTTTTTTGTCGTAAGTTTTTGTTAAATGACTTTTCCCTGATYCAAAGTTATCCCCACTTGACATAGAAACTAYTCAGCATCCAGGAGAATGGAAGACTTATGTTTAGTCAGTTGTTATCACGACAGCAGTGATATTAATCAAYGTGGCCTATTTGAAAATCACTGCAAAGTTCATTCCATTTTCTACAAATTGCTACATTGTTTCTCTGTTTTAATTCAAATTTTTCCARGTTAGGAAGTGGCTCTAACTATAAAAGCTTCACGTAGAGGTAAAATAATYGCCATTAGGAAATTGAAGAAATTGGTCATTAACAGCACCCTAAACGAAGATTAATAATCCATGTTTTTACTAAATCATCTGGTGTTCTTTGCATTYCCAAATCATCAGGCAAAATTGATTGGTTTGGGTACATAACTCTGTAAAGCCTATTCAGTGGCACCTGGGCAGAAATACCATTACTAAAATTATTCWAAATGAAAAAAAAATTCGTTGTTTTAAGATGCRCGACCATAAATGRTTGCGCTATTCCAGAGTTCGTGCCAACATATTTAWGYCCTGATAAAATTTTTCATRATGCTTGTACCTCCACTATTGACGACAAACGATTATGCATAACATGGAGCGCAATTATTAATCCTTCATAAATTTGTAATCTGCCATTTATGTTATCAAATTTTAATGTACTTACCTTGTCATCAGTGAGATTGTCATACATCCCCCTTCAGCAGGTCTGGAGGAAACAGTCTTAAGGGATTTGCGAGGGTCTCTTGAGCCAATAATTCGGTATAAAGTCCCTTTGTTTACAATGCTGTATAAAGTTGAAATCTGACATTAGAGCTCGTTTAGATCAAGCTATTTGAAAACAGAAGTTAGCGCTACTATTAATATAATAAAAACTTTAAAACGGATAAACCAATTAGTACATTACTCAAAGTGAAACAACAAAGTGAAATATTTTATAACAATTTTTATTACTATTAAGTATCACAGACAATGTATCCTAATATATATGTCATATTTTATACATTCTACAACAAACATACATTTGAATTGCTGCTACAAAGTTGTACATTTTATTTACAAGATATAGGATTTTGTTAGACTAGGCCTTAGACCAACCGAAACAATACAAACAGCAATAACTAGTTAATATTGAAACTGAGAAATTAAATTAATTATACAATTTCAACGCCCAAAAGAAGAATCATAAAATAAAATATGTATTAAAGAAACTTTTCGGGTTTCTTTCTAATCCGCCCCCCAGAATAATTACCCTGAACAGCAACGTTATACCAATAACAATTCTCCATCATGCTTAGATCGTCACCCACAATCGATACACAAAAGTTTCAAATGTTAAAGCATCCAATCCATTTAAAATTAACATTAGCAGTGTTAATAACAAACATCTATATTTTCGCCAAGAATTACAAAATATGCAAACTTAACGTCAACTAATATTGATTTAATAAGCAGTTTAATGAGTGCAGCTCAATGTTAAAATGTACATTTGTCCCGTAGGTATACATTGGAATAAATTGAAAACATCCACAATGAAATATATGATTAAAGCAAAATATGTGGCAGGTGAGTAATAAGATGTAAAAAAATTGACAACTTTGAGAAGAATGGAGAAAGTTATTTTTCTTTTATTAATTAAAATTGGTGTAACTTCCAGACATCTTACTTTGATTAGAAAACTTGTGTTCTAAGCAGGATAAACCGTTTTACAATATGAAGTCCAATATTACCCGCATCGTGGTAACTGGGATAAAATAATACATCGTTTAAAAAAGCTAAATATTGGGTTTCGCAAGAATAACATTCTATTGTCGTTCAATTCTTAAAGCTGAAATACATGCGTAAGAACATACTGGAAAATTTATTATTAGGGCTGGAAAGTAGACTAAAGTTTCATGGGCAAAAGCGAAACCCGCAGGTCATCTTTTTGTTTGTATCAGGGTTTTTGCTTAGAGAATTCATGAAAACTATAGTTTTATTAGTTTAGTAGACTTTTGGGTTGAATTAGTCATAATACATTATCATGCTGCTTTTGTAAACTGTGAATGTTGAAGAAAATATGACTTGTTGCTAGCTGAGGTTTTGTGGAACCCCAAAATTATTAGCCTATTTAAGGATTATTAAGTCGTAGCCACACAAAAAAAGAACGATGATAATCTGGGCATAATCAGAACCGTTGAAAGTTCTGCTTCAAGCAGATAAATATGTCAATATGCACTAATATCGCTCCCATAGGACCGATTTGGAGCCTACTAGGTCTCAACTGTTGGTTTGCAAGAACAACTAAACTGTCGGCATAATCAGAGCAGTTTAGGTTTCTATTGTAGGTACACCTGAGGGTGCCTAAAATTAATATATATCGAGATCTGTACCTACTTACTGCAGCAACCTCTGGTGGATCTGATGATGAAGAACATTTTATTGCAAGGTTCATACTACTTACTTTACTTTCAGGTAAACCAATTTAATGAGAGCTAATAGGTACGAATAAAATAGCTTGGATGTATTTGTGGTGAAGCATGAATTTTTATGTTAGGACTTACATTTTAAAGGACTTGTTCTTCAGCTTTTATGTGTGCGTTTCAAAGCGTTGTGCTAATAAGTGCTAAATTTGCAATTTTCACACACAAGGTATAATTTGGTCCTTGTTGTTACATTTAACTCAGAATGTTTGACCGTGCGGGTAAGAATTTATTCAATCTGTAGCAAGTTTTAACACCCATATATTATTATTTTGGCAAGTTCTGGAATGAACAATTGCATCTAAATCCAGTTTTGTACGATTACTCATGAAAATTTAGTCCATTTCTGAATGCTATTTTGTTATTAATTGTGTAATCGATTTGCAATTTAAAACAAACTATGGTTCCCTCAGACATATGCAAACCCATCAACGACTTGCAATTTAAGTGGGCTGAAATAAATTGGACTTATAATAATAATAATAAGTAAAATAATGCCCTCAACCCCACGAAATGTGAAAGTTTTGGTTCTACAACTTTTAAATTTGGTAACACGCTAGATCAAAATAAATATTTTATGTTATAGTACAAACTCTATGGAAAATATAACCCAATCTAATAAAAATATAGAAATATAAGATGTTTGAAGATTCTTCAGAAATATTTTTTCACTCGACTGAAAATGTATTGAGTTGTCACTGAACCCTTCGCCGCCCTTCTTTGCTGGAAAATATTGCAGATAACACATTTTCCGACACTTGCATTATATAAAATGTTTTATGAGCAACAGAACAGCAAATAAAATACTGAAAACTAGTGTAGATACGGAACTGAATTTTGGTCTCTTTCAACAAATTACTGATTGTAAATACACGTTTATAGGGATAAAACTAAATTTCCTTTCTAAAAATCATTGAACCGTTTCCACAGTCACTTTAAATTTACTCAGCGCTTATTTTTTACAATATTACTTTCTAGTATGATTATAATTTAAATTTCCAAATAACTAATTAACAACTAACTCTCCAAAACCATTTGGAGAGTTATTTGAAACAAGAAAGTTTATATCACAAATAAATCAAGTGAAGTGCAGTGGTAATTATTTGAACTCTTGGCATTTCCCTGTTTACACATTTGGCGTAAAAATTGTATAACGAATAACCAACTAGACTACTCCAACAATGGCACTTTGGAACAAAAAATAACAAAGCAAAATGTACGGCAGCTTTGTTTGCACTGAAGCTTTCTTGACCCCATTCAGACCGCTCACTAAAAACGACAAGATAAAGATATAATAATTAATTATTTTCAGGATACACTAGAAAAATAACGATCCCAGAGCGAGTTTAATTAGGTTTTCAGTTTTTGTCTGTCCTATTCAAGATCAGGAGCAGTTTTTAACGGAGCGAATTTATTAGATAGATTATTTTCTGGGTAGTGTTTTGGTTTCAAAGCTTTCCTCTGGGGTTCCACCCAAGTAATTACTGTACTGTTTAGTGTTAGGGAAAAATTAATGAGCGAGACAAAATGTTTGTGGAAGGCAAATTAATTATGGTTAAGTTTGAAGTAGCGAATAAACTTTGTGCAATTCTAGACCAAGCCTGCACAACCGCAGGCAGTGATAGACCGGTTAAAATAGATATTGAACATTTCGCTATTTGCATCATATTTTGCTCTACCTTCTCACCAATAGACACAAGGTATTGTTGGAAATATGTGAAGTTTCGACAATTAAAATTGAGAAAACTTTACCTTCTTAGTTGAATCCACAATTAAAATCATTGTTTGATCTTTGAAATTTTAGAATCACAGCATTTATTAGTTGAAACTGTTCTGGAGGCTGAAAGTTCACGCTTGCATCGACACACGCAATATTAAATTTTAAATCAAGCAACACGTTGAGCAATTCCAAAATGTAAATAATAAATTGGGCGCGCCGCTCTAAAAAAGAGTTCGTTTTGATCAGCCGTATGAGTTTCTTCGTAGAGATCATTGTTGAAGTTCCAATTCTTCGAAATCCACAGCTACAAACGCCCATCAAGATCGGCGACAAATTCGAGGTCCTTTAACTAATAAGCAAACAATTTATAGGGAGCTGCAGAAAAGTTAATTGATCGCAAGGTAACCTACAAGAAGTCTTAAATTATTGTGAGAGCATCCCGCTGCGCTTAACAACTTTAATATCTGGGCCAATTGAAGAAGGCCAAGATTGGTCTTATGTGTTATTCACAGACAAAGCACTGTATTATAAGCTGGTGTGGCAGTAAACAGAAGAAATATTTAACCAATAATTGACAATGAAATGTGAGACCATTTATTGGGGCTCAGTCATGGTGTAGACGAAATATCGATGCATAAATGTATACCTCTCATATTTTTCCCATTAGGCAATCAATGCTGCACGAATTTATATTGATGATATCTTACGAAAGTGCGTTCAATCTTCTGTCGAAGTAGATCATCAGAATTTTCCTCGAATGCATAATAATGCACGACCACTTGAAGCGGGATTCTGCATAATTTCGTCGAAACTGCTGATATAACCATGTTAAAGTCGCCTACTAGAAGTTCAGATATGAAGCTTATTGAACATCTATAGAAGAAATAAGTTGTGTGCGAACTCGCAAGAAGCTTTCAGCAGTGCTACAAGAAATCACTGTTGATTGCATTGGCGGAAAAATCGGCTAATACGCAAACTAGACGCTGATAGAATCTCTAGAGGTAAAAATACCATTTATTAACTTTCCTTCATGGTGATGTTGTGATTAATACTTTTTTTTAATTTGTCAGTCTTATTAAAAAACAAAATATTTAAAACTTATTGAAAGTTTTAGTTTTATACAAAACGATGACCCACAGGGTATTTAGAAAAATTAAAATCAAAGCAGAGCCCAATGTTTACACCACTATTTCCCATTAAGATCAGGAATCAGCATTTCTTATTCTTGAGATGAAAATAAAAAATATTGTGCCTCAAATTACAGACCAAATATTAAAATAAGTTTATTGATATAAAAGTTAAAATACGTTGAACTAAATATGCCAAAAAATCAGTTTTCTCACTTTGTTTTTGAAACTGATTGTATAAATGCGTTCAGAATCCAGACTATTTCTTGATAGACTATATAGAAAAACATTTCAGTAATCGAGAAAGAAAACTTTTGTATTGAAATATTGTATTCCCAGTATCAAATTCAGTAAGCAACTTTGCCACTTAAAATCGAATGTCCTGAATATTACGATTTTCAAGTTGCTTTTAAATTCTAATGAAGAATGGTAGATGATTAGTATCTCGAAAATTCCATTCCGTATTCGAAATATCTTTGTTTTGAAATCTAAAAAACATCTATTTCGTCTCTGAAGATATACGGGAATTCCAAATCCGCAACTATTTGTGATTGGTTGATGTGCCATATTCAAGCATTTAAAAATATTTAACATTTGGTTACTAATCTTTAATTAGGTTATCCGTGAACGATACGCTGACATTTAGCTCCTTCAGGTAAAAAGAATGCCACCAGATTGAAATTATACATCTGATCATCATTTGAACTTGTTAAGTATCTATGGTGAAGGTAAGGCCACCTATAAAGGTAGTGCAAAAACTAAAACACTATTTGTGCTGTACAATGACTAAGGAATAAGGAATATTAGAATGTTCTTTTCTTCTTGAAAATTATGGTTGAATTTCATCCAAGCCAATTGGGTATTATAATCATTGACCAACGGCTTCGTTGAACGGAAGTTTACTTGTATTGTATTTATGACGATGGCTGCATTGCGTGGAGAGAGGCCATTTACACAGTGGTCAAAATGCATTCGTTAAGTGTTTTAATATCGAAAGCACAAATTATTGCAATGAAAAACAAAGAGATTCGAAGAAGGAGATCATAAAAAGATGAAGAGAGTTGAAACCCAAAATCGTTATGTTAAAAGAGCAATTTCAAATCAGGCTGCTGAAAACTAGAGAATTTTCACAAGGATTAAACAAATTCAGTCGAACATAGTAGAGAAATCTAAGCTGGAATTTAAAATGCTGATATTGATGAAGATAT